GGCAGACCCCGGCGCTGCCAGCCTTGATTTCTGTCCTCTCTTCCCCCCTGATCTGCTGTCCCACCTTCTGCAGGACAGGTCTGTGGCCATGTTTCATTCTCTCTCTCCTCTCTCCCTTCAGGTGAGCTGGAGCAGCAGCTGTGCCCCGAGTACCCTAATATCGTCTTCTCCAGGCTGGTGTGTGAGGACTCTCCTGGCCCTGCACCACCCGGGGAGGTGCGGCAGTTTGGTCGCCAGTTCCCGGTGGAGGCGCCGGGAGGGCTGCAGGACTGTGCCATGTTCTACGTGGGAGCTGACCTCTACCGGGTGTGGCGGGCTCGGGATGCCCGGGTGGTGGCCATCCTGGTGGGCACCCTCGGCGTGGCGGGCTACCTGGCTGTGCTGCAGCACCTCCGTGAGCTCCTGCGCCGGGCCGGCAAGCGCAGCTACACGCTGGCCGTGGGGAAGCCGAACCCTGCCAAGCTGGCCAACTTCCTGGAGGTGGACATCTTCGTCCTGGTGGCCTGTGCTCACGGGCTCGGGATGCCCGGGTGGTGGCCATCCTGGTGGGCACCCTCGGCGTGGCGGGCTACCTGGCTGTGCTGCAGCACCTCCGTGAGCTCCTGCGCCGGGCCGGCAAGCGCAGCTACACGCTGGCCGTGGGGAAGCCGAACCCTGCCAAGCTGGCCAACTTCCTGGAGGTGGACATCTTCGTCCTGGTGGCCTGTGCTCAGAACTCTCTGCTGGACTCCAGTGACTTCTACCGGCCCATCATAACCCCCTACGAGCTGGAGTTGGCCTGTAACCCAGCCCGGGAGTGGACAGGGGACTACCTCACTGACTTCCGAGACTTGCTGCCAGGTAACAGCTGGAAAACAGCTGCCCAGCCCCCTCCTCATGCACGTCCTACCCTGCTCCCCTGCCTGGAGGCCGTGGTTGCCCCAGCCCTGTGCTGACCGGAGCATAGATGTGAGCACCAGGCTAACGTTACCGTTTCTTGGCAGGTGCCTGCGCGCACGTTGAGCTCCCACCGGCCGTCCCTGCAGCGGAGGCTGTTCCTGACGTCTCACTGATCACGGGGGAGATGCGTGCCACCCGCCTCTGTGACCCTCCAGCTCCCCAGCTGCCCCCCAGCACTGCCCTGGCCTGCAGGGACCAGACACGAGCCCTCGCGGAGCTCAGCCCTGCTGGTTTGTAATTGGGTTTTGTGGTGGGGCTGAGCCTGGTGCTGGGGCAGCGTCGCTTCCCTGCTCCCAGTAACAATTCCCTTTTTCTCTCCTCCCAGCCTCCTTCCTGGAGTCCCGCAGCTGGCGGGGCCTGGAGCAGCAGCTGGGGCAGACACCCATCGCCAAGGCTGTGCAGGGCCGACGGGGGATTGCTATTGCCTACGAGGACGAGGGGCACAACCAACCCTGATTTGGCAGCAGCTGGGCATGTGCAGGAGCCCAGGCATTGCCCGCCACTGGGTGTTGGATCTACGAGGGTCTCATAAGGGTCTGGACCTGCTGCCAGCTGGCCCCGTGCTGGATGCAGCCTTGGTACTGCAGTGGGTGAGCAAGAGTTGCATGTGAGGACAGGGCTCCCCAGCCCAGGGCAGCTTTGGCCCTGTACAGAGAGGTCACAGCTTCACGTGAGCTGACAGCACCAGGACTTGAGGCTTTTGTGGGCTACTGTTGCTGACTAAAGCTGTACTGAAAGGGACTTGTGAATTGTCTTCTAGAATAAAACACGGGCTGAGGAGTGCAGGCAGGACTGAGATCAGGCATCCCCAGGTGCCTCACCTGGGGAGCACAGCCCTGTGCATCAGCGTCCTGCTTTTGTGGCCCAGGACAGATGATCCAGGTATGATCCAAGCTGACCAATAAAGATGTATTCTATCCCATAAATGTCACACTCCGTATAAATTGGGGAGCTTGCAGGGGACCCCTTCAGGCCTTCCCTTCTTCATGATGGCAGCCCATCTCGGTTCCTGAGGCTTACCCCTCCCTTGTTGCATTTGTGTTGGTGTACGGCCAGCGGTTGCTCTTTGTGAGCTGGGTGTATTTATTTATTACTGTTGTTCCTATTCTTGTAACAATTAATTGGTATATTATTTAAGTTTGGTTTGTTTTAGTTATTATGTAGTCTTTATCTCAACTTATTTAATCTCATTCCTCCATCCCACCGGGGAGTGAGGGGGAAGGCGAGTGAATGACCTCTGTGTGTTGTAGCTGCTTGCTGGGTTAAACCACGACAGTCAGCTAAACCCAGCCCAAAAGAACTGAAAACCAGGACTGAGACCCCCAGAAATGAAAGCACATTCACAGCCTGGGCTGGGGAGCTGAGGGCAAAGGGGCTCTGAGCTCAGGAGCAGGAGTGGGATGCACACACCCCATGCTGCAGGGATGGAGTCTGGCCCCTTGTGTGTGCAGCAGGACTGCTGCTGCTCCGTGAGTTGCTCCATGACAAGCAGAGGGGACTGGTTTTTTGCCATCCCTCCCACAGCCACAGAGAGCAGGAGGCTTTGAGGCACCCCAGCCTTGGTTGAACCACCTCCACCGGGCTCTTCCCCAGAGACACGGGGCAGGCAAAGTCTGGGCACCGCAATAACAGCCACAACATAGAAATATTCTTAATATAATTAGGTGCAGGGCCTCCCCCCTCCCAACCACACACGTACAAACGAGCAGGGGCCAAGCCCCCATCCCCACCCAGCCAGCCACTGCTGCAGGCCCCTCCATGGGGCACAGGCACCCACGGGGAAGTGCTGGGGAAGGGCTGATAGCCCGGGCATGGGGCAACCCATGCTGGGGCAGTTGTGCCCAGGTGTGTGTCCCCCCCCCATCCTCCTGCAGCTGGCACTCCCATCCCCTGCGAGGGGGGAGCATGCTGGGGGAAACAAAAGATGCTGACACCGAGATGCGGCCACCAAATCTAGCTGAGGAGCGTCCCAAGTGGGTTAATTCTAGGTGGAGGGTTATTCTACGAGCTGTACTGCAGCAGGGCGGGGAGGATTTTGGGTGGGTGGGGAGGGGGCTTCCTTGCGGGGACGAGCTGGTCCGGGCAAATTGTC